TAACACAGAACTGTGACCATCTCCGCAATAATCACGGAATATTATTTCAAGTGCACCGGGAAAACATTCGTAGGATTAGAAAGTGCATTGAAGTACGGGGTGCTCATTTTGAACATCTACCGAAGTAACATTTAGGTACCTTTGTTCATTGTTGAATGTTCTTTGTTGCATGTCTTGTAAGTAAGTTATTTTTCAAATGTTATTTTTAATTGGTCACTACTTGCTCATAAAGTATAGCCAACCCGTTCAAAGATTTCTGGACTTGATAAAGTTAAAGAAATTAAATGCATGAAATAATATGTAAAAAAAATAAATTTTAATTGTTGTATTTGTTACCAATTTTTTTCAAAACCGATTTATCTCGCAAACCGTTCATTTTTTCGAAATAAATAAAGAGTACCATTTTTAAAGAAAAACCTTCAGAGTATCTAATAATAATATTTTCAGTTTGATAAAATTACTTCTGTCAAAATTTTGAGAAAAATTGTGATAGGGCCAGTCCGTTTCTGGACACCTGATAATAGCAAAAAGTTTATTTTAGCATCAAATCGTAGATTTGATGCTAAATTTATTAAATTTTATTAAAATATACAGGGTGGTTTCACAGTTATAACCCTAAACGTTAATTTCTAGGTACCCCTTTGACCCCCCATAACTCCGTTATGGTGCACATTAGGAAAAAAAATTATAGGAAACGACTAGTTTTATTTTGACCTCCCCTATACATTCCCGAGAGATTAGGAGGTACTTACCGGACACCCTGTATGTATCCCGGAGATGATTCCCGAGGAAAACGTTACTTACTCTTAAAAAATCTTCTCCGAGTTTGTCGATTCTATGAATCAAATCCTAACGTAAGATATCCAATGAAACATGCTAAATAAAAATGTAATCGAATCAATTTTTTAAATATTATTTATTGCCTTTATGTACATATAAGTTGAAATTATTCCAAATTATCGTCAAATCATTCTGATAGCTCCACCTACGTCACTGGGTACACTTATTCGTTTCCTGTTAGGTTCAAGAGTAGGTACTTGTCATATTTGCAATTTTATTGATATTGAGAATATCTATTGACGTCACAGATTGCCATGTATATATATATCAGGATCAACCAAACCAAAATCAGATCAGTTGTCATAATAATCATGGCTTTGGTAACAAGTTTAATCGCTTTTCTTTTAATAGCAAGTGCTTGCGAGTGTGCGGAGAAGGCGGAGACATGTTTGAATGATTGGGGCAACCATTACGTGTGCTCAAGTTTCGATTTGAGTAGCTTACCGGAAGAGGAGCAGTTGTCTGTAACTATCCGTACCGACAGCCTTCAACATTTGAAAAAGATTTCTGCCAAATCGAACGTGATAACATTGGAAATAGAAAGTACTATAGGTTCAATGGAACCCGACTCGTTTAAGGGCTTAGCAGGAGTGAACGTGTTAATTCTAAAAGATATCGCGGTTCCTGTAATAAATCCCGGCACTTTCAGCGATTTGGAATTAATGTCGCTGGTATTACAAGGCGACCAAATAACCGACATCAAACCTGGCGCCTTCAAGAACTCTAAAATGAGTCTTTTACGTATAGCGAACACTAATTTGAAGAAAATTAGGAGAGGTGTGTTTAACGATGTAGACGTGATGCAGCTGGATTTGTTCTACAATAAGATATCGTCTATAGAAGACGGTGCTTTAGCGGGCATTCCTAATTTGTACACTCTGAAGCTTGAAAACAACGCCCTGACCAGCTTCGATGCGAGAAAAATATTCCAGGGCATCCCCAAATTGCAAATCTTGCACCTCCACAACAATAACCTGGCATCGCTGCGCCGTTCTACGTTTGAGGGACTAACAGACCTTACTAAGTTGGTCGTGAGCTCCAACCAGATCACTCATATCGAACCGGGAACGTTCAATTTGCCAAATTTGAAGATACTGAATTTGAGCAACAATAAAATTAAAAAATTGGACAAAAATATTCTCTCAGGCGACGGATTGACAGCCTTGTGGGAACTTTACCTAAATTACAACGAGCTGACGTCTTTGCCAACAAGTTTCTTGTCCGAGCTCCCGAATTTGAGGAAGGTGGGTTTGGCTGACAATCCATGGGAGTGTAGGTCTTTGGATTTGACACTAAAATGGGTTGAGGAGAACCTGACTCAAGGTTTCCAGGAGCAGGAAGCAAAACCTACTTGTGTTGAATGAATTGTAAAAAATGTATTTTTTGCACCATTAAATAACTGCTATTAATAAAATTGACGTTGTTTTATTGTAAAATATTTTCAGAGTGTGTTATTTATATACTTTACCAAACTTTAAATTTTTTTAATTTTATCTAAATAAAGGAATATCTACCAGACGTTTTGAATGTAAGACTAAATATACGAAGATGTGGAATAAAATATTGTGAAACTTGACTCGTTGTTTGAAGTCAGACCCATCTCAAAGAGGCAGGTTTGCATAACAATGAAATTGACAACTATTTGTAATTTTTGACCATTTCAAATTGGATACTTTACACGAAAATAAATGATATATGTATATACAGGGTGTTTGGTAAATCGATGCATTGCCTACAGGAGGTTATAGTACAAGTGGCGTGTGATATATTTCCTGAATATACCATATTCCGAAAGCGCATAGTTTCCGATCTGCAGGGTGTTAAAGTTTTAATAAAAAAATGCAAATTTATAAATATTGCGGAAACCGCTCTGAATATTTTTATGAAATTTTACAGGCTTTGATAGTTAACAACAATATATGNCTTATAATTCGCATTTGCTGTTCAATCAAACCTTTCCTTCTCATTTTCAAAACAGCGGGAATCTTTGTAAATTTGGATTATTCGCTTTGTAAATACGTGCTGCTAGCAAAAATCACTTGTAGCAATTTTATGGTTTTTTGATTTTATTTACAAATAAATGGTAACTTTCCATAAAGACTTATTTATTAAACTCAAATATCTAAATTTTTCAGTTATTAATTTTTATTTTAAATAGTGTAGCTAGACAACTAATAAATTTAATAAAAATAAATACCCTTACAATATTTTTCCCGACAAAGGAACGGGCGCAAATCCGGTATTTTACATAAAAATGGGTTTTTGCAATAACTACGCAACTTAGGTATAGGGAAAGCTATTAAAAAATTGTAGGGTCTGCAGAAATGCATCTATGAAATCATAAAACACAAGGTGTTCTATTTGAAAAAGTCGAGATTTTTCAAATTTTAAATTATCAGGTTTGACACGAATTTTTTTGTCCCTTGTATACCGCAGGTCAACTTTTGATACGTTTTTTGAAAGAGCCATCTTCACTCTACAGTTCCTGAAAAAAAATAATTTCTAGCTGTTATACAATCATGATTATGTCAACTATTAGAAGTGACGAAACATAAGAAAAAAAATGAAAAGTCGATTATCTCGAAAACTATCAATATTTTAATAGGGATCATAACACAAATTTCCGTTAATTTTTCACGTAGAATTCGATAATGCCATAAAAAATATAGGTTTCCATTTAAAAAAAATTAAGTTGGTACCTGCCCAGGAAAAACTGAACACCCTGTATACGCAAATATATTTCCATTTTGTGAAGCTCGGGAAACTGTGTAGAAAAAAAAATTAAGTTATATTGGACTTACGCGCACTAGGTGGACACGATGTATATCTTCTTCGATTTTTCTGGTAATAAATTACACTCTATTTGCTTTGCTGATCCAATAATTTCAGGTGGAGTTAATGTGAATTCTTCCATCTCAAATGATAAATAGTTATTTTTATTAATTTAAATACGCAGTAACAATATGGCGATTATTATTTACCTAAGTACTTAATAACGCTCGCGTCATAGCAACCACAAACAAAGTGTTTGACGTGGTAGTAAAGTAGATTTACTGCTTATCAATTTGTACAAAAGACATCCCTCTTGGTTCTTAAATTGAGATCGGAAGAACTATACTTTGCTGACTAGTTAAACAAATAACTATTTTTAGACTGTTATTTTTTTTAACCACAGAAGAACGGTTTTCTAACGTGACGCGAATTGCTAACTATAACACATATCTGTGTTTACTGCGTTATCTCCCTACTCTTTTCTGATGTTAGTTTTCATACCAGGTTGCAGCTCTCGCCAGGAGAGAAGACCGACTAGCTGAGCTGGCCAAAAAACTGTCCGGCGAAAAAGGCAAACTCTCCCCCATCAAGACCGACGTCTCCAACGAGGAGGAGATCCTAAAGGCCTTTAAATGGATAAAAGAAAACCTGGGACCCATCCATATTCTCATCAACAACGCCGGTGTCGGCCTTCCAAACACCAATGCTATAGACGGGGATACCGAATTATGGAAAAAAGTTTTCGGTGTAAATGTTTTCGGACTCTGCATTGCTACAAAGGAAGCCATCAGGGACATGAAAGCCAACGGCGTGGACGGTCACATAATACACGTCAACAGCATCCTGGGCCATCAGGTCTTGAATTTTCCAGGAGCGGGCATATACCCTTCGACGAAGTACGCAGTGACTGCTTTGGCCGAAATACTTAGAATGGAGCTGGGCCGCGAAAAGTTGAAAATAAAAATCACGGTAAGAATAAGAACACTAAGAGATTTTAGTGTGTGTGTGTGTGTGTGTGTGCTTGCTNTACTTGTAAACAATTTAGGTACTCCATAAAAATTTATCAAGCAGCCAATGTTAACAGTTTAATTGTATCGTTTTATTTGTCTTACCTAGAAATTAATCTTTATTGCTTCAAATTTTACGTTATCTCAGTGTCTAACTTTAAAGATATCAAAACGTAAGCGACATGTGAATTCATTTGCTTGTTAGTGTTCTTTCTCCTACCTTCATAGCATAACGCGACATTATGGTGCTATCTATGGAACGATGGGTCGGCAAAGTAGCCGTAGTCACCGGAGCTAGCTCCGGCATAGGGGCTGCTATCGCTGAAAGATTGGTGAAAGAGGGTCTTCAGGTAAGATGGTATTTTTCTATCTTATCTACGCATTTCTAGATATAGTACAGAAAGCAACAATTGTATTTAAAATGAGCAAATGTTTTTTCGAAAAAGGACGATTATAATTTAGGAAATATCAATTGTTACGTCACTTGTGTTTGTCAAAGGTTAAATTGTTGTTTCTTATTTCTTTAAATTTTTATTAGTACTGGTTAAGAACCCTCAAAAGTGTTTTATGATGATGCGTGTATTTATCTTCGCACTGTCAGCATTCAAAATTATAGTCAAAAATAAATTTGTTAAAAAATAAATCCGCGCTCATACTTTTTTAATTTACCTACACTAAGGCAAAAAAAAAGAAAAAATAATACCCTTACAATATTTTTCCCGACAAAGGAACGGGCGCAAATCCGGTATTTTACATAAAAATGGGTTTTTGCAAAAACTACGCAACTTAGGTATAGGGAAAGCTATTAAAAAATTGTAGGGTCTACAGAAATGCATCTAATGAAATCATAAAATACAGGGTGTTCTATTTGAAAAAGTCGAGATTTTTCAAATTTTAAATTATCAGGTTTGACACGAATTTTTTTGTCCCTTGTATACCGCAGGTCAACTTTTGATACGTTTTTTGAAAGAGCCATCTTCACTCTACAGTTCCTGAAAAAAAATAATTTCTAGCTGTTATACAATCATGATTATGTCAACTATTAGAAGTGACGAAACATAAGAAAAAAAATGAAAAATCGATTATCTCGAAAACTATCAATATTTTAATAGGGATCATAACACAAATTTCCGTTAATTTTTCACGTAGAATTCGATAATGCCATAAAAAATATAGGTTTCCATTTAAAAAAATTAAGTTGGTACCTGCCCAGGAAAAACTGAACACCCTGTATACGCAAATATATTTCCATTTTGTGAAGCTCGGGAAACTGTGTAGAAAAAAAAATTAAGTTATATTGGACTTACGCGCACTAGGTGGACACGATGTATATCTTCTTCGATTTTTCTGGTAATAAATTACACTCTATTTGCTTTGCTGATCCAATAATTTCAGGTGGAGTTAATGTGAATTCTTCCATCTCAAATGATAAATAGTTATTTTTATTAATTTAAATACGCAGTAACAATATGGCGATTATTATTTACCTAAGTACTTAATAACGCTCGCGTCATAGCAACCACAAACAAAGTGTTTGACGTGGTAGTAAAGTAGATTTACTGCTTATCAATTTGTACAAAAGACATCCCTCTTGGTTCTTAAATTGAGATCGGAAGAACTATACTTTGCTGACTAGTTAAACAAATAACTATTTTTAGACTGTTATTTTTTTTAACCACAGAAGAACGGTTTTCTAACGTGACGCGAATTGCTAACTATAACACATATCTGTGTTTACTGCGTTATCTCCCTACTCTTTTCTGATGTTAGTTTTCATACCAGGTTGCAGCTCTCGCCAGGAGAGAAGACCGACTAGCTGAGCTGGCCAAAAAACTGTCCGGCGAAAAAGGCAAACTCTCCCCCATCAAGACCGACGTCTCCAACGAGGAGGAGATCCTAAAGGCCTTTAAATGGATAAAAGAAAACCTGGGACCCATCCATATTCTCATCAACAACGCCGGTGTCGGCCTTCCAAACACCAATGCTATAGACGGGGATACCGAATTATGGAAAAAAGTTTTCGGTGTAAATGTTTTCGGACTCTGCATTGCTACAAAGGAAGCCATCAGGGACATGAAAGCCAACGGCGTGGACGGTCACATAATACACGTCAACAGCATCCTGGGCCATCAGGTCTTGAATTTTCCAGGAGCGGGCATATACCCTTCGACGAAGTACGCAGTGACTGCTTTGGCCGAAATACTTAGAATGGAGCTGGGCCGCGAAAAGTTGAAAATAAAAATCACGGTAAGAATAAGAACACTAAGAGATTTTAGTGTGTGTGTGTGTGTGTGGGTGCTTGTCTGATATTTCAGGTTTTCTTTCAGTGTGTGAACATAGAAGCTCGTCCATTTGATTATAAAGGCCCCGAACGATAACTGGGTTACCCATTTTTGAACACCCTGTAAAATATATTTTTTTTTAATGGGAAGTTATTTTCTTTATACTGACACACAATTTTTTTTTTCGTCACGCTGTACAATTGGCGCCATCCAAATGTGAACGGATTTTGGTTGTTATGGAAATTTAATCTGGATTTTATCGTAGTAGATCAGACTTTTTTACTGGCGTAACACAGAGAGGGTATTGATAGAATTATATTTTCAGTGACTCTTATAGTACTTAATAATTAAAAAGACAACACATATAATATAAAGGAGATTAACGAAATAAATCTTACTTACTTACATATTAGTGGAAGAAAGTTAATAATAATTTTATCAATTTTGGATTGACGTTAGTGAAATAAGACAACACAAATTAAGTTTTTCAACTTACTATTACTATTAGTAGATATATTTTAAAGCATAACAATTATTAAAAAAAAACAGTAAATAAAAAGTAAAAAACCTTATTTCAAAATTAACAACAAATCTATGGCTATAGAAGAAAATTTGAGCAAAGTGACGACTGCAGATCAACAGAGAAACGTTTAACTCTCGCAAAAACTGCTGTTGCAAAATTGGCATTAGAATTAAATATTATTTTATTGCAGAGCCATTCATTGCCACAACACTTTGCAATCTTGTAGGCATAGACAAAATCAACGCTCTCACATCATATGAATGAATGAGCTCTTCCCAAGCATCTTGAATAGCTTGCCAGAGTTGATTGCGGTTTGCCGGCCTAAAGTCTCTTTGATATATTTTCCTAACTAAGAAGCCCCACACAGTCTCAATAGGGTTTAAGTCCGGACTTTTTGCTGGCCAAGGCAAAGTATTGATGTTGTTGAATTCGTCCACTCCCTTACTACTCGCGCTGTGTGAATTGGAGAATTATCCTGTAATGAAGAAGTAATTATTTTAATATTTGTATCATTTCTTACATGTTGAAATACAAAATTATCAGGAAAAAGTTGTGTCACTGATGGTAACATCACATTCTCTAAAATATTTATGTAATTCTTGACTGTTAATCTCCCATCAATTTGCCAGCACACTCCAGGACCATGAACGCTTATCCACGCCAAAACATTAACAGAAAAGCGTCCACTATTGGTAGTATGCAGTGTATAATTCTCCTCGAATCTTGAATTCCTAGGCCGATAAACACGTATTCTTCCACTATTAGAAGATTGGAATGTCTTTTCATCGGAGAACACTACGTTGTTCCAGAATTCATTTCCTTGATGTAGCAGTTCATTTGAAAACTGGACTCTTCTTTGTTTATGCTCAGCGGTTATTAATACTTTGTGAGCATCAGCGCAATTTTTTAGACCAGATAGTTTTAGACGTCTTTGTGCTGTTCTGAGAGATCCTGGAAATAATGTTTCTTCTCGCGCTTTCACAGCGGTTTCGAAAGGATTCTGATGGATAAATTCGACTAAAGCGTTATCTTCCGCGTCATTGGAAACCTTCCCGACACCTTGCCTGATAGGTCTTTGTATTCTTTGTTCTTCTTGACAGGGTTTTTTAATATAAAATATACAGCTCTTACTGACATTTAAGTCAGCAGCCACTTTACTCAAAGACCAATTTTCTTCTAATTTAGCTATAGCCCTTGCTCTTTGCGCCTTAGTTAAATGCCCCGGTATATTTCACGTTACTTGTTTAGGTTCACTACGTTTGCTCTGACATTTATATTTGACAATCATTGAATTTTACGACGACTATGATTTAAAGTTTAAATTACACGATACAATATTGCCGTTCACATTTGGGTGGCGCCGACTGTACATGAGTGATGACATCATCGACATATTTTTTTAAATGTGATTGTAAAAATTTTTTTACCGGCTCCCACTATAGTAAATTGACTATTAATACATTTTTTATAAGGAGGTAAGTCAATTTTACCGTAGATGTGGAAGTTGTTTTGGACAACGGGAGGTAAGTGAGGTAACTTGCCTCCCTAGGGAAAAAAGCGATTTCGAGCATATTTTATGAACAAATAAATAGAAATATTTGATGAACATTACATTTTATTAATTATTAAGAATGAATATTTATAGTAATAGTATAGCCATTACATTTAGTAACATTTATAAAATCTGGATAATTATTCCCCTCGCGTTTACTAATTGTCACATTTTTCTCAAAATGATTTGACCGCTCCATTTCAGTCACAGGAGGCTCAATATTATCTGACTGATCCATTAAAACAGCATGATGCGACGTACAACTAGAACCTGGAGTTGAAGTGTAATTGTAAAGAATCCTGTTGGCTATTTAATTTTTGTTACATAAACTGTCAGCAACATAACTTTCTGCAATTGTGACTGATTTCCACCCACCATATGTTTCTTGATCCTTAATACATCAACTCCTGTTATTTGCCAGTATCGTTGCCGATGTTCTTCGGAATGAATGGCCTGTATATGTTTCAGGATGTTCTAGTTTCAAAATCTATGCAATCTTATAATGAATCATAGAATGAAAAGAGTGAAATTTCAGTTTTAATTTCCAATGATATATTGATATATTTCTTGATAATTTCTGGGTGAGAAACAGAACCCAGACGAGAAGTAATTGTAAACGTACGTGACATACCATTTTTAGGATTTGGTATTGTAACTACAATAATTTTATCGAAAATTTTGAAACTGACGTCCAAAGTAAGTTTGCATAACTCATTAGAACGGCATGCTCCTGCAATTCCTAAGACCGTCACTGCCTTCCTTAGCAAATATGTGTTATAGGGTGCCTGAACGAGAAAATCGTTGACTTGTTTTCTGTAAAAACATTGACTTTTTAGGTGTATAGCCGTCATTCTTACGTTTCAAAAATGCCCTCAGCTTGGAGGATTTTGATATATCCACGTTCTCCTCTATGAAAATAGTTGACTTAATCATTGAGTATTCACTCCACAAATTGGCCCATGACTTTAAAGTTCTTGACTCCTCCATGAAATATGCTAGCAGTGACATTTCAGAAACACCAGTATTTTTGTTCTGGCACCATTCTTTGAAATTTCTACATGCCGACTTCTCAGGTAATAAAAATTTATGGAAAAATGTAGCAGAGTTATTATATTTTATTTCAATCGTTTTTGGAGTATTTCTGGTCATGGCCAATTTAACAACAAGTCTGATACGAGAAAAACTGTCCAAAAAATAGAAAATTGCAAATGTCTCTAAAAGTAGTAACGGCAACCCTAACTAAGTTAACAAAGTTATAGCTGTTTGAAGTTATCAAAATATAACAGCAAAAATGAAACACCTAGTATTTAATGTTTTAATTTGTTGGTATGCCATAATTTAGCGTTACTTATGCCCTTTGCAGGTACCAAAAATCCACTTGATATCACGCTCCTGAAAAGAGTTACTAACATCTCCGCGGACCCTTGCATCTGTCAATTTTTTTCTTCAAATATTAATATATCAAATTCTATAACTCCTAGGTATAGGGAATATTTAAAAGAGTGACCCCCAAATTACACGTAGAATCCGAAAATGCAATAATATATAGGGTGTCCCATTTAAAATAACGAAGTTGGTGTCGACTTCCGGTATAACCGGAAGTGCTGGAGAGTTCTAGATATTTTAGTTGTGTTCGCCCCAGGGACATTGCCATGTTGCCAAATTTTCAAATTTTTCGAAACAGTACTTTCCTAGATATCGATCGACGCAGTTCCCGGTGAGACACCCTGTATAGTTCCTAGAAATATACCAACCAGCATTTTCTTGGCCAATAGGAGGTTTCAGAAATAAATTATTTTACTTAGTCTTAGTCACTATGTACACATTTTTATCATGGCATATTTTATTGGCCATATTTCCCTTAGTTTTAAAAAATGCCTATAATTCGTTCCAAATGCACAAATTAAAAAATGAATCTTATTACCATTATCTCAAAAATTTGTTATTTTTTAGAGTCTTAGCCCTGGACTAGTCGACACTGAAATACTAGAAGTTTCCAAATTTACAGAAAATCCAGTGTACAAAATAATAAAAGAGGAAAAACGAATACTGGATGCCGAAGACATAGCCGAGAGCGTTGTCTATGTTCTTTCTACACCTCCCCATGTGCAGGTAATTTTTTTTAGGTGTCAGTTTTTCTACGCCTGTGATTAACCTCCAAATAACTAATAAACGTTAATTAATAGAAATCTATGCTAGATTTTTGCGGAACAAACTGTTATTTGTAATGCAACTTATTTAAAATTTATTACTTTGAACTTAGATATCAGATTTGTCTAAAGTTGGTATATTTAAAATATTTTATGAGAAGATATAGCCTACCCACGAGACAAGTTTTAGAAAACACTAAAAAGTGAATTTGTTATAATGTAACGAATTAATTATAAAGATTTACCTACATAAAATTCATAAGTTTTCGTAAGTTAAGAATATTTCTGTTAGAATTGGAGACAGAGAAAAGATACCATTCTAAAGATAAAAGACTACCGTTTCATTCTGTAAGTTATGCTTAATTTGAAAATTGTTTCGGTCAGATGTTTTAGAAAAATATGTTAAAGCCAGTAAGACTTTACAAACCGTTAATATTGATTTATCAACGATTGCAATTTTTGAATCACTGATTGACTACTTTAAGAGAGACCAGTTTGATAAATAAGAAGAAAGGGGCAAACAGCTATCCAAAATTATGGAATATAATAAAGATGAAAAAGGATACAGAAGAGAAAGCTTCAATTTGACGGAACCAAAACAACTTCGACAGCAAAAGTGATATGAAAATCAATGTTTTCCTTGCTATTTATTGATAGGGAATTAAAGAAACGATTGATGGCTTACGTAGAATTAAAAAAAAAGTTCGAGTTTTTAAATACGTACGTAAACTTAAGATTATGAATGACAACGACATACGAAGCGATTCAAATAATTTGCAAGCTGAATATTTAATCGATTTGGACGAATGTTTTGTTGAGGAATGTATTGAATTCAAAAATTTGTAAAATCTTGTTTGAAAATCGATTTTTATTTTCCCCAGAGTCTTCGATATATCCTTCAGTTACAGAGGACGAACGCCACCCACCGTGCCTTTTAAGGCCTAAAATATCTATTCCTTGGTTTGCCAGAATAGTGACAGAACTCCTTCGGAATGCATGTTCGGTTTAAGTTAAGAGATCCGGCAATATTAAGCACTGTGCAATTTTAGTGGGCCAATTTCCTAAGATATTTCTACCCACCACCTGGTTCGTGACCTTCCCGTCTGGCATTACCAAGAATACGCAAGCTGACTTTGCCCGTTTTGGTCGTAGTGCTAGATATTTTTTTATAAAATTTCAAATAATTTACTTTCTCGTTTCCTTGATATGTTATTGTAAACGTTTGTGATATACAGGGTGTCCGGAAAGGTCATGTCAAAAATGAAGGAGTGTACAGGGGAGCTCAAAATAGTTGTAGTACTTCATATTTTTTTTCCTATGGGGCTTCATTGTGGAGTTATTCGCCTTCAAAGAAAGAAGTTTAAAAATTCCAATTATAACTCGTTACCATGGTAACAATGATATTTGGGCAATTAAAGTAACTCATGGTAATGTCCTTTTCCAAGTTTAAACCAATATTCTATATGCCTGGATTATCAACATTATCCATTTATATTTATACATCTTTGAACATAGAGAATTCATTTCTTGAAAGAAAACAGGCTAGCATTACCTTTTCTGTGATACAAAATTTTTCTCGTTATACCAAGTTGCCAATAGCTTGAAAATTTTCTCATNATTCTATATGCCTGGATTATCAACATTATCCATTTATATTTATACATCTTTGAACATAGAGAATTCATTTCTTGAAAGAAAACAGGCTAGCATTACCTTTTCTGTGATACAAAATTTTTCTCGTTATACCAAGTTGCCAATAGCTTGAAAATTTTCTCATATCTCTATTTGGACTTCTCGGGAATCATGGATGAACAGCCTACTTGCCAAGCATTTTTAAGTCTGAATCGTCACTTTCATGAATCATAACTTACAAGAAGTTTAAGCTGTAACAAAAATATTACATTGGAGAAATTTCTATTCATAGCAGATATCACTAGCCAATAAATATTGGGTGTCAAGCAACCGCGCTATTATTCTATGGCTAGAAATTGGCCTCAATGATTTGGGATCGAGGGGGATTATCCCTCTTTATCCTGCCTCATCTCGTGTAGGCCTGGACAGCCTTCGTAGGTGGGCCCCATCCGTCGTCTACCCCGACCGCAAATGCGGCCGGTGTAGGCGCTTTGTGGGACCTCCTTTTGTCCTGGCTGGGCCCCGCCGGCTAGGGCCCTTTCTTCTGGCGCTCTTCTTGCTTCGCCGGCTCGTCTGTGTAAACCCCGGGGGTAGTGTCATGTTTATGTGTGGTATGNCAGTTACAGAGGACGAACGCCACCCACCGTGCCTTTTAAGGCCTAAAATATCTATTCCTTGGTTTGCCAGAATAGTGACAGAACTCCTTCGGAATGCATGTTCGGTTTAAGTTAAGAGATCCGGCAATATTAAGCACTGTGCAATTTTAGTGGGCCAATTTCCTAAGATATTTCTACCCACCACCTGGTTCGTGACCTTCCCGTCTGGCATTACCAAGAATACGCAAGCTGACTTTGCCCGTTTTGGTCGTAGTGCTAGATATTTTTTTATAAAATTTCAAATAATTTACTTTCTCGTTTCCTTGATATGTAAACGTTTGTGATATACAGGGTGTCCGGAAAGGTCATGTCAAAAATGAAGGAGTGTACAGGGGAGCACAAAATAGTTGTAGTACTTCATATTTTTTTCCTATGGGGCTTCATTGTGGAGTTATTCGCCTTCAAAGAAAGAAGTTTAAAATTCCAATTATAACTCGTTACCATGGTAACAATGACATTTGGGCAATTAAAGTAACTCATGGTAATATCCATTTCCAAGTTTAAACTGATATTCTATATGCCTGGATTATCAACATTATCCATTTATATTTATACATCTTTGAACATAGAGAATTCATTTCTTGAAAGAAAACAGGCTAGCATTAGCTTTTCTGTGATACAAAATTTTTCTCGTTAAACCAAGTTGCAAATAGCTTGAAAATTTTCTCATATCTCTCTTTGGACTTCTCGGGAATCATGGCTGAACATCCTACTTGCCAAGCATTTTTAAGTCTGAATCGTCACTTACTTGAATCATAACTTACAAGAAGCTTAAGCTGTGACAAGAATATTACATTGGAGAAATTTCTAATCATAGCAGATATCACTTGCCAATAAATAATGGGTGTCAAGCAACCAAAGCGAAAACATTTTTCATGTACGACTTGTTTGTTCTATGCATTTTTAAAATATTAGTTGTTTAGTTTCAATTAAATTTATTAAATATTTCAGCGTCCAAATATCGTCATAAACAGTGCGGTCTTATTGGTTTCGGACATTTTGGTGATCTCGACTTCGTCTAGTTCTCCAAACTCTCCTCAACCAATAAAGAAAACTTACTGACCTTAATACTTAATACACTGTTGTATCGATCACTAAATGACATTTGCATATATTCGTGCAACACGTTCTGTGACATTAATCTGTTAATATTTTTCAGATTCAAGAACTTATCATCAGACCAGTATCTGAAGCATTCTAGAAATACCCCGCTGTTTTCCAGCTTTAAAAAACAGATGTAATAATGAACAGCAAAACAGTGTGTTCCAGAAATAAGTGCCAAAATTTTAATTATTTATTTGACACATAAAAAGGAACAACAAATATCTTGGTTTTTAGGATAACATTATTTTTAAAAATGATATATTTCTTTTACCCGCCAAACAGTGTGTTCCAGAAATAAGTGTCAAAATTGTAGCCAACTTGATGTAATACGCAAAATTTAATTTCAACATTCAACCGAAAACAGTATAAATTATATTTTCAAATTGCTGTTGAATTTATGTAGATGTAAAAATTATATAATTATAATTATATTTTTATTATAATCAGTAACATAAACCATGTTTTTTTTATTCAATAAGTATGTTCTGCCTCTTAGACAAAATAAAAAATTGCACAAATAGCAAAATTTAGAACTTTTTTTTTCCTTTTAGTTAAAAAATAAAGGGAAAAACTAAGATCTAAGCTCACTATTAATTTTCATAATTACGTATTACCTACAGACGTATACAGTCGTTTGAGTATAAAGGCCCACGCTATAACTCAGATACTCATTTTTGGACACCCTGTAAAGTATATACAGGGTGTATCACGAAGAGGGCCCATTATCTCAAAAAGTAGGCAAAATTGAAATCTGTAAATTTGTATAGAAGGGTCTATCAAAAAGATCTATTCAATGAAAATAGTGTCAACTTCCTCGCACTTCCGGATATACCGGAAGTCATCATCAGCTCTGTTATTTCAAATGTAACACCCTGTATATTTTTGCATTTTTTAATTCTACGGTATATTCTAGACTAATTTCATATAAGGTACTAAAGGCCAAAATGTAACAGTTTTCAAGTTATTATCAATTTTCGAAAAAAATTGAGGGATGTAGGTGATTTTTGAAAATAGAATAACTCCGACATTTTGATTTATTTATTAATGAAATTTGGCATGGATAATTTAAAAGCAATGGAATTCAGTCAGTTTATGTCAAATTTGCAAAAAATCATACAGAGTGTTTAAGAACGTGTGACCAATACTATGACATTGAAGTTGAATTTACTCAAATATTTCAAATGGTACACCCTGTATATTGTTACATTTATGGAAGCACAATCTAGGGTGGATTTGATGCATTAAAGAATTGAATAATATACGATGTCTGATTAATGAACTGTAATTTTTATTATCGTTATACCCTCATCAAAAATAATAATTCAGTATATTAAATTTAACAGAGCGATGTTTTAAATAAACCCACCATACTCGTAGATTTTTGTGTGTTGATATTTGAAAATTGAAATCAATAATTTCCAATTTACACAAGAACTGTTAACTTTGGGTGTAGGGAACTATAATATCATTTTAAAGTAAAGTGCTGACGTCATCGATATTTTTTTTTAAATGGGATTGTATACATTTTTTGCAGGTTTTGATTGATNGGGACAGGACGGTGCCCTGGGGG